CTGCATGATTCTGCCTCATGCCCCACTGATATTAGTAACAAGTTAGGGTCGTTGAGTCTATTGTCGTTTCTACGGCCTGCATGATTCTGCCTCATGCCCCACTGGTCATGGCGATAGATAAGATCTAACATGTTCATTAGATTTATCTTTATTAGATGGTTAATTGGTGTTGAATTGTTTCTTTACATAAAAAGGGGTTCGGTAACTTGTAATCGTTGGCTCAGTTTAAACCGATCATCATGGATATCTTATTGCCATTGATTAAATTTTGCTTGAATTTATATTTATCCTGGATGATAACCGATTCTTCTTACACAACCCTATGAGCTTTAACCGATTTATTCTTATGAATATGCTAGAATCGACTATTTAGTCGATCTCCTCTCATATCGGCTCTCAAAGCCGCACATTCGGGACTGTCTGGCAACACCGGCACGTTCCGCCCTTAATTACTGATAAACTTTCTCTCCTTGTCAATTGCAGGGTCAAATTGACTAGCACGTCTCGAGAGGATTGCATAGGATCGATCATCCTTGCGCTGAAGCTAGGCGGATTTGCTCAATTGAGCAGACCCTTCCGGCTTGCTGCGTGTGTCCTCGGCATGGAGACGAAAATTCTATGTCGACACATGATGCATGCATCGGCCTATACGTTCACTCAAGCCAGAATATAGCAGTGTTTGCAAAATTTCAGCACATCACACACTCACTTTCCGCTTTGCTAATGATTCTTACGTAGCATAAATCAGTGTACCTGCAGAAAACTGATTAGATAAAACAAGTGCCGCTATCCTAGATAGACCATATTGCTAGGGCTTATACTTATTTAGATAATTTTATTGCATCCTACTTTTTGCAAAACTCTTGTTGGTCAAATTTTAGGTTTTGAAAAAGAGTGAGGAAACTTGTAGACTCATTATTGGCTCTGGTACCAACTATGCAGAACCACCCGAAATAACACACTTACGGAGGTGCTTGTCTTCCACTAGACACTAAGCACCCCGAAAGCAAGCTACATCGGGCGGGTCCCATCGGGCACACCCCAAGGGAGAGACCGAATAATCCATGTTTTTCCCCAAGGATCCAATAATGAGAACGAGTTACAATACTTAGTCCATTTTATACATCCAGAATTCATAAAAATATATTATTATGGTACCAAATTCAGAGTGCGGAAATTTAACAGCGGAATGAAAAGAAACATCTATCGATAAGATACAAGGATTCGTCTGTGCCCACCAGAAGAATCCTTCACACAACGGCTACTCCTCAAGCTGCACCTGCAACAGGGGTAAATAAACCCTGAGTACATAATGTACTCGCAAGACTTATCCGTCTAGTGGGAATAATTTCCCAACTCCAAGGGATATGATAAGCTTTATGATTTGCTGGGTTTCCTTTTTGCAGAAAGCAATACTAATAGTGAATCCTTATTTATGTTATTATTAGCAGTCATGATTAATTCATTATCTAGCCATTCTATGTAAGCACCTATTCTACTTTCAAGCAAGGGTTGAGCAAACAGTTCCATTTCATCACCTTTCATCTTTTAGTTCTTACTATGGTGCTAGACTGTAGACAAGCTGTACCGGAATGCTGGCGATTCATGAATCAATGTGCCCAGCTAGATACCCCAAAACACATGCACCATTTGTACCCTAGGCACAAGCAGGACCAACCCATCACTCTCCTATCATGGGGTCCAGGTCCCCATCCAAACTTGGAGTCCAAGCCCTCGCTCCTAAGTCCCAGACTCAGTGCGGTGCTTAGACCTCCACCATCCCCGCCTCAAATCAGTCGGTCTAGAATGAGCCGGAACCCAGGACAAGAGAGCAACAAGTCTTTCCTACGCCCATACCCAAGTATGTGCTCGGGATAATATGTCTGTGACTTGCCTAGAACCCAATTCAACGGCCGGTCCTTAACCGACACAGACAGGGAAAAAGTGTAACCAAGCTGTACCCTATTGGCCGCAGGACACAACCTCTTATACCCACCAATACCCAAACCATATCCCTACCCGGTCTCCATTTTCCTTTCCACCATTTTATCATGAGTGATAACAATCACCTATTGTGAGTAACGACAGGTTACTCACGCTACCAAAATCCTGAGCATAGCAGCTACTCGACCTATACTAGTAGGACTCATAGGTAAGTATATTTATGCATGTAGTTTCCATAAAATGACTGTAACATAAATTCACATCATATATATATTCAATAATCATTCAAAAATAGGGGTTTTGCACAGGGGCTTGCCTTGGGTAGGCGGGGTGTCAACAAAGTCAGCAACTGATGGCTCTAGGGCTCCCTCCTATATGAGAATCTCCTCCTCGTACTCCTCAATGATCTCCTCATACTCCTGTTTGCCCACAAGCACGAATTCTACCAACTCGTTATCTACATGCATGAAATAATGATGCAACACTTAGTAATACGGCAATAGCAACTCTTAAAATAAAATACATCTATCAAGCTACTAAACTAGCTCTACCAACTAAGACACCATGTTACCTATCATTCCCACTAAACAGGTATGAAACATTTCATGTATTAACTTAGCAACTAAAGGAATCCCTATTCTTAATATCGATTTACTCCATATAAGATAAAAAAGGAGTCCTAGCTACTCTATTTATCAACCAACTCTAGGGCTATAAAAATTACAGCGAGCACATAATAATTTAATGAATCTACTATAAAAATTTCATGGCTATATCTATCACAAATTTACCACAAAAAATCCTACAAATATTAAGCCAAATAATACTAAGCTTTCCTAAATGAATTAATGAATCTATCACTATCATACATAACTGTAAACTAACTACACCAACAGATAGATAACATTTTTGTGAACCTAACAAATTTTGTTTCACTATTTTTGGACACCTACAGAATTTACTATAATTTTACAAAGATCAGCTCAAAACTAAATTGAATAAACATTTACCAATTCCCTGGAAAATGAAAAACCAGAATCCATCCGCGCAGCCCATCGCGGCTCAGCCCACACCAGCGCCGCGTGCGCACACGCGAACCGCCGGCGCGGCCCACGTGGGTGCATGGCCCATCCGCGTGGCAACGGCCCACGACGCGAAGGCCCACGCATCGTGGCCTTGTTGCGAAAATGCCCTCGATCTAACTGTTATTCCTAAGAATCCAATGCGCCCTATTCCTATAGTCTGGACTTAAGCGATTTAGCCCTCAGAACAAACCATCTTTATAATGGCCAAGCCCTCGGGCCACCGCGCGCACACCGGCGTGGCAGCACTGGCACTGAGCAGTCACGCCGGCCAACCGGGACCCGCTCCGACCAAACTAGCGAGCCGAACAACACCTATGACCCTAGAGCCTACCCTAGCTGAAGCTACAGGGCGACAGAGCTCATGGCAACGGTGGCCACGACGCGCGGCTACGCGTGCTGGCGACACGACCGTGCTGGCAACCCTAAGCTAGCACAGTGAGAGATAGCTAGCCCTAAAGCACCACTAGCGTACACTTGTTACTGCTGTGGGGGCGCTTTGGCCAGGGATTTCCTGAACCGAGCTGGCCACATGCGACGGTGAGATGCGGCGGCGCACTGCGGTGACACCGTCACGTCAGCGACCACGGTGGGCCGGTAGTGGCTAGGCTGAGGTGTGCGGGGGGTCGACACGGCTCGCACGGCCACAGCGCCATAATTGGTAAACCGACACTGACACGGCCATGTGCCGGTGCAGCAGGCGCGCGCAGCAACGGCAGTGGCTACGCAACGCAGAGGAAACATGCGCTTGCTGTGGCACGACGGTGACAGCACGAGGCAGCACGGTGACGAGATGGCAGCGGTCTGTGGCATGGCGGTGACAACGCGAGGTGGCATCCAGGCGGCAGTGGACCAGCCAGAGCAACTGGCGCATGACGACAACGGCAAGGACACTGTAGGGCAGAGCGGCCAGGCCAGCGCGGTGGCACGCGTGTGGGCGTGCGTGTGCGCGTGCGTCAGGTGGCCGGTGTGGCGACACCGAGTACTAAGGCATGGTGACCATGTCCACATGAGGAACTCAGCCCAAAACATGCCATGCATGCTTTTTAAAGCATCCCAAAAACCCAATTCGATGCTTCAATTGCTAAACCACCTATTCTATACTCGGGAGGGCATGTTAGGCTACTAAAACAAGCCCTAATACCCCATCACTTCTTAACCCAATTACTCTACAAAAATTGCCAAACTTAGCCTCGTCAAACCCTTTTCTGACTTCAGAAATTTGACAAGTCTTGATCGGTTTCGCGTCAAATTCAATTTCCAACCTATTAGACCAGTTAGCTAGTGAGTTCATTATTTGACAGCAGGTATTTCATCGTCATCTACAAGACTTGTACTACAAACTTTATTAAAGTTCCATATACACGTTCTATAGTGTTTTCGCCTAATAAAAATTGATTCAAAACCCTAGGTGATATAACTTGACTATGAAATGTAACTTTCGTTTCGCGTTTCCGTTGATTGTTTTGAGTTACGAAAATCGATCTACACACTATATCACATGCATTAATACATAACCATGATGCTCATGGTATGTTTTAGCAAAAGATTTACAGTGTAACACTGAGGGTGTTATAGTGAGGCATAGTAGGAATCCGCTAAAACGCTCCTAGATCATGCATGTTACATCGGTAGCGCCGTTAGAATTGTCTCGATGTCCTTATCTAGACCTTCGGAGTTCCCCATCAGGTTCCCATCGTTTGCCATGAGAGCTCGGCAAAGGATTTCGATAGCATCTCCTCTATATCTCGGCCTTATCTCTCAATCACAATTAAGCAAGATGGACAAGTATACATGCATACACAAGAGAATGACATACCAAGCAAGCCCAAAGGTTCAACCGAAGGAATCCAAACAAGAGTATCAAACTCGTCACCTCGATGGATGATGCATAGCAAAGCAAGTAGTATCAAGTACAACACAACATGAGTACACCCAACACCCTGGGTAGTGAAGCAAATCGAGTTTAAAGTATCAAATAAACGCCCCCTTAATGGACTGGAGCGGAACCAACTCTGGAGTATGATGACGACGAGGCATGACTACAATCACTGGTCGGGCGGAGTCTGACGAGGCTGCTGCGGCGGTGGTGTCTGTAGGTACGACGGAGGATGGAAGGCTCCTGGAGGAATCACCATTGGCTGTCCACCTGCGAAAGGGACCAAACATAAGTAATTAGTAGAAGTTTGGATAATAATATAGAAGGCAAGTAGTACTATAGGCTATGGTCGGCAATAAACATCAGAGTAGTTAAGGCACCTGCTAGAAAGGCAATAGTCCCCTGAGGCATTAGAAGCAACGAATGCGCCTAGAGCGGAATGAGCTCTGCATAATCAGTAAGGGTTGAAGTGAGAACAATCTTATAAGTGAATAGAACTGAGCTTTGGCAAATGGAATACAAGCCAGTAAGGGAGAAGAAAGGATACCAATCATAGTATTGGTAGATGGCTTCGGACAACAGCGATAGACATGCTGATACAAGGTGTCAAAGGATTACTTGAGTTGCCCAGTAGCTTGGACTTGTGTGGCAATCTCAGAAGGAAGCTCACCCAATTCTTCCTTGGTGGCCATCCTTTCCATCTGATCGGCCAGGCTGTTCACCTTGGCAATCATCGGATCAATGAAGTTGTCCCTAAGGAACTGTTCTTGCATGATGAACTTCTCATCCAAAGCCTGTCAGATTGGGGTGATTGACTACTGGAACTGAGTGTTGAGGCGTGCAAAGTAGGGAAAAGTAATCTTCTGGTGGCACCCATACGCTAGCACCCTCTCCAGTTGTAGATACAACCGGTGAAAGAGGAACCGTAGCCAGAGGTGAATCCTCTCGTTCCAAGGCCTCCCTCTTGTTCTTGTATGGACAGAAAGCCTTGTGCACCTCATCATCCATGTCCAAGACAGCGGTTTTGTGGTTGACCAATGCCATGATGTATGGCTAGAAAACTAAAGCACCTCTCCTGTCCACCCTGCACTCCATCATCCTAGCGGCCATCCACTCAACCATGTTCAACTTGTCCCCAGACAGAACACCTTGGATCACTTCATAGTACGGAAAGCGAACAACATCGAAGTTTCCCACCTTAGGCATGATGGTGCACCTCAACATGCTAAAGATCAAGGAAGGATACCTCTTCAAATACTTGCTGGCACCATGCTGATGCTTCCTAGTTGGATAGAAGACACAGGTCTCCTGCTCTTGCATGGCAGGAAGGTCACTCACAGACTTCCTAGTCTTCATTTCTGCATAATCAAGACCAATGAGAGAAGCAAAGTCCTGGAATGAAGCAGCGAAACTTTTCTTGCCAGTCATCCACATCAGATGCTCATCTTCTATGTCAACCTCAAGTGTGGTGTAGAACTGACGAATGACGGACTCATTCCAATTGTGCCTGAACTCCACCTTGCGGAGACCCATACCCCAAAAACTTTGGACCAAGTCATTAATGCATGGGAATTCTTCCTGATAGGCCCAGTTGATCCATCGACTCTTCTGCATAGGCCTATTGATGAATTCGCCCCAAAAGGGCTTGTACTACACGAAAGAATGGAAGTAGGTGTTGAAAGTGTTGCTCTCCCTCTAGTAGCACTTCTTGCTGCAATCCTCTCGATACTTGACCATGCTCTTCCAAGAATAGTTAATTTCGGGTCGATTTCCCAAGTGGATGGAACGGACCCCATCTTCTTCATGCTCGTACTCATCATCACTGAAGTCAACCTCAACCTCGTCGAATGGAGAAGCCTATTGTTCAGATCTTTCTGTTGGACCTTTGCCATGTTTAAGAGGTTGCTCATCTTCCTCCCGCTCGAGCATGGCCCAATCCTCATCATTGAGAACACCAGGCGAAGTATCCCTTTTGGACCTCCTCACATGCGGTGCCTTCCTCTTCTTAGGTGGCACCACGTGCTCACGAGATGCCGAACGGCTGCCTTGCTCCTTGAAGCGTGGTTTCTTTTGGCTGGAAACCCCACTGAAAGGAGACGACCGGAGCCGGACCTATGAATGCAAACATAGAATGAGATCGCAACTCAACTGTCTCAATGAGAAAGGTTTAAAGGAAGGAAAATAGAAACAATAGGGTAGCAGTGTTTGCCATCTTAAAGGATTTGATGATACAGTATTACAGTCGTGGACAATGTTCCTGATGGACCCAAACATAAGATGAACAATGAGAACGTCACTTAGGAATGGATTGGTAACTGACTAGGGAGCAGCGGTGTATCCGTGGAGATGATGGACTGCCCGCTGAAACTATAATCCTAAGTACCCTTAGCGTGAGGGAGAGTCCACGATGATCTCGGACCGGGGTCTTCGATGTAAGTTACGGAGGATCCGCTACTCGTTCGACAACATGCATAAAGGAATCTAAGCTATAGACTAAGCGTGAGGGAGAGTCCACGATGATCCTGGACCGTCTGCTAGAGTCAATTTGGAAAAATAATCAACAGATCTAGAGTTTTTCTAAACCACCTAAGATTTTAATAGAACGTTCCGCCAGGACCGACAGAGAGTTCGTGAAACTTCGATCCAGCGTAGTATGAGCAACCACAGTACCCTATATGCACAAGATCTACAACACCAAGCAGTTTCCAGCAATCAAGAATCATCCACTAAACAAGTGAAGCATGCTCTACCTCTTCACCCAGTAGGATTTCAACAACACCAACCCTATCCATAGGTCAAGCAAATTCTAACTAGTTTGCCGTGGAAAAAGGAGAGGAGAACGACCGAGCAGAGAAGAAAGCTTACCTTCCCATCTCGAGAAGCTTAGAAGCGTGAAGAACAACCTGAATCAACAACGATGGCGGCCTAAGCGCAAGCGGCGGCTAGCTTAGAGGAAAGGAGCAGTGGAAAATGAGGGTGAAACCCTAACCGTCCAATGGTAACCCCTTATATAGCCAAGAGATATCGGATCGTCCGTCAATTCGACGGAGTGTCTAATAAGTTTAAAAGCCTAACAATTATGTCTCGAGACAGTTACAGAACCAACGGAGCGTCCAACGGATCAATCAGACTAGCCAATAATAAGTAAGAGAATGTCCTCTCTCTTTGGTGACCCTTGAGAAAAGGAAATTGCGAAAGGAAGAAAAAGGCAATTTATGAGCCAAAGGAAGAACTTTTAGAACCTGCCTAGCTGCAAAATTTTCCCAATGGAACCTCGGGAAAGCTCGAGGACGAGCTTTTTCTATGGAGAGGAGAGTTGTAATGACCCGAATTCGCTACAACCACCTAGGCCCTCAATTTTGGATATTTAACAAGGCTACATTGTTTTTCTACTTCACCAAGCGACCTGCGAGCCGGACGAGCATGAATACTTTCAGGTGAAATGCTACAATGATAGCTCCGTGCACTTGCGGATAAATATCTAAAATTGTGAAGGAACTATCAAGGCTATTACTTAGTGGCATTGCTAATTATTAGTGATGACACTAAGAAATACCAACAAGCACTTCTGGCGTCGTTGCTAGATTCAGTGGTCTTATATCTTCTAACCCTATTTTATTAATTAATAATACTCTAGGAATGAGTGCAAGACTAGAGGGTGTATGTGGATGAGTTGTCTGAAATGCATTGTATTGGGTATGTGTGTGTAACTCAGCGCAAAGATCTTGAAGAGGAGTTGCTATGTGCGCTCCTGGGGGTCTCTCGATGTTATTTACTTAAATTGAGTTGGTCAAGTGGATGACACTCGGTTTAGGTAGACTACTGCGTCGAGACATCCATTCTCCCAAAGTGAGGGGATCCTCTGAAGGAGCCAGAGCCGTTTTGGAGATGGCTTCTCCAAAACGGCTCTGGCTCCTCTGTTTTTCACTGAAAAATAGCTCATCCGACAAAACATTTGGTAGGGCTCCTTCGGAGGAGCCAGAGCCGAAGCCAGGGAGAAGCCCTGCCAAGCAGGTCCTATACCATCAAAATCCTATGGATACTAGGAAAACAACTTAAAATCCATCATAAAACATCTTTTAGGTAGTGCGTGGATAATAAAATACATTGCAGAAAATCCACATAGAGTACGCAAACAACTCAAAATACACCATGAAACATCTCATAGGTACTATAAAAACATTGAAAACAATACTATCTATTGGACATGAATACTTTGGGGAAAAAATTGAATACATCATAGAACATCTCAAAAATGCTATGCGAACAATCCAGAAACATATCAAGAATACTATATGTACAAAAAACATCTTATAGGTATAGACATACCAGGTGAACATTCAAAAATATATCATGGAGCATCTAATAATCACTCGTGAACAATCTAAAATATGTGAACAATTAAAATATAAGATACTATATGTAAAAAAGCATACACCATGGAACTTCCCTTAAATATACCATGTACGGGAGTAAAAAGTAAAAAATATAAATATAACTGAAACAAAATACATAAAAAGAAAGGAAAAATGAATTTTTAGTGAACAATAAAAAAAACCATATAACAAGGGAAAATAGACAATAAAATAAAAATTATAAAGAATATTTCATGACCGAGTCCATCTTGAAATATGAAATATTCTCTCATCATTCAAAAAAATGTCCTACAAATATGTCCAAAATCAATTAATGATGCACAAAGAAACAACACAAAATTGAAAAATAAAGGCAAATTGAAACATGACGAAGGTTATTTGCAATCGAACAAATAGATGATAAAGAAACAATAAATAAAAGAAAAATTATTCGAAAAATTTGAAAGAAGAACATAAATTCTAAAACCATAAGAAAAACGAATAGAAAGAACAAATGAATGAAATGAATTAACAAAGGTGGTTCTATTGCACAAATCATTTGTGTAAAATGTCAATACAGATAGTTGGCTTACGCCTGCTACATGTATAAATTGATTTACACTGGTAGCAACATTAAGCCAATCGCCAGTGTAAAAATATTTATACAGGTGGTTCTCGAGCTAGTGCTAGTGAAACATTACTGTCTTTTACACTGACTGTTCACAAAACCTCTATTACAGATATAAAAGTACCGCCAGTACAAACCGACTAGTGGACTTGGAGCTAAAAAAATTCTTTCTCCCATTGTAATTCCTTCGCAAAATCACTCCTACATAAAATATAACATGTGCAGCCTGTTCGCTTATTAGTTTCAGCCAGGGCTTATCAGGCAGTTAATAGTGTTTTCCTCTCGCAACCAGCATCAATCGGGTTTATCAGCCCAGAAACCAACCAGCGAACAGATCGGTTATGTTATATCGTTAATCTACTGTATCTAAATAGAAGAACCCCACTAACCTATTTTACTGCGATTTCGTGAAGCCACGTCATCCCAGCGTCCCACCACCACAAGTCCTCATGTAGCCACGTCATCATCATGTTCATACACGCACAGCTTAACTGTCACTATCGTTTTGCCGTTTCTCCTTTCCCATAGGCACATGCAAAGCACTGTACTAATTGTCCTATGCATGTATCAATTGTTTATCATAAAACTACTTCCCACCATTGCTAACCAATTAAGATCAGTCACATCGTCTTGCTACCAGGGCAATGCACTTAGAAGCCAAAGAGACTACCGTTAACTTCAGCTTTGAAAAACCTCTCCATCTCCCTAATCATGTCCTGGTTCTATAAAAGCACAAGCAAGCATGGTTCAACTATGACATGACCCAACCATTCACCAAATTTAATAAGAAATCAGGAAGCAGCAGCCCGTGTATTTCATACATGGCTTCCAAGAGACCAAGAAGGCAAGATAAAACTAATGAAAAACCTCTCCATCTCCCTAATCATGCCCTGCTTCTATAAAAGCACAAGCAAGCATGGTTCAACTATGTACGTGACCCAACCATTCACCAAATTAAATAAGAAATCAGGAAGCAGCAGCCCGTGTATTTCATACATGGCTTCCAAGAGACCAAGAAGGCAAGATATCGATAAAGCAAGGTGCTGCCGGTAAATAGTTTTATCAATTTTGTGCTAAGCCTCCTAGTGTGTTGCATTGGTGGATGTACCAGAGTAAGGACCATATGTGCGCGCACGTTATAGCTGCTGCCGGGCGCGAACAAGGCGAAAGCTGTACTCGGATGCGTCGAAGGGGAAGGCCACATGCCCACACTGCAAGCACCTGATCATGACAAAGGTGATGCTACCGTCGGCGCTGTTACGGGCATCCACTGGCACGGACAGGATCGAAAGGGACTGAGACTGTGACGTCAAGATGTTGGTTGAGATAGCATTACGGTCAAAGGGTCACCTGACCATCGATACTGTCCAAATTATTATGTAATGTATCCTCCTCTATTACCGCGCAGGCACCATGCCCCATACTCCGGCTCGTTGTGGAGCCGCCGGATCTGGAGCAGAGCCAGGCAGATCTGACGCAGCTGTCCGGATCTATCGCGTCGGTGGCCTATCCACTGGAGCCGCCGGTGACCAACGGCTGTGGCGCACGACGGTCGGGGCAAGCAGAGGCGGCGGTCAGGGGGCGAGCTGAGGGGCAGAGGAAGCATGCCGACGGCCACCGGCCCCGTAGTTGTGGCCCCCCGTGGCACGGATGCGGCCTATGGGGGTATGGCCCCGGTATCCACAAGACAAGACATGGGCCGCACCATCAGATGTGGCCCAACCCACAAGATCAAGGCGTGCACGACACTGCTCGACGTGCATCGCAAGATATTATATAGTACCAAATAGGATACTTTTCTTGTAACCCTACCCCTCCAGAGAATATAAGGAGAGGCAGGGATCCCCTAGACGACAGCTGCATATATCTACTATATCTTAATACAATACACCAAAGACACAGGACGTAGGGTATTACGTCGATCAGACGGCCCGAACCTGTCTAAATCGCTGTCTCTGCGCCTTGTGTCACCATCCGGTTCCTATCACGCACACCTCCACCGATTAATCTACCTTCGTGGGATACCCCTCGGAGGACTGTCGAGCATCTTTTCCTTATGGTTCTTTGTTTCTCTCTTTGAACAATGGAAGAGAACCGCTGTTCGTTTCCTGCTTTAAAGAAAACAATCTGTTAAACTTCTAGCCTATTACAAATAAAAAAACAATACTATAGTCAATACAGGGTGCAGAAATATAGACTTCAGGATACAGTTATATCATCTATTGATGGTCATGACATGAACTCAATATCAGAATGATAATATAGAGAATAACCAATAACCATAAGTTCATTATTGCCAGTGTTTCTGATATAGATTATCAATATCAGAATGATAATATAGAGAATAAACAAAAGGAGTAACTTGCAGCTTAGTTGCAGCATAGCTACCTTCATATATTAACAGTGTACTTAGGAATAGTAAAAATAGAAATGACTTACTGAGTATAAGAAAAAATAGATTCATGAAATCCACCAAAGCTCATGCATGTATTATATCGGTCTTTTTTTTAATGCATGGGGGAGTTTATACTATGTTATTGCTATCAAAGAAACTTTAGAGTTGCACAGACAACCAACTGAAAATGCAATGTGTGAGAGGTAATTACTTACCGTTTGTTGTGAGGAGCTATTGATACATAGCACCTAATGTGAGTTGGAGATCACACAAAACTAACCTGGACCTGCAGCTTGATCCACATAAACATATTAGCAAGGAAGGATTCAATTAAAAGTTGATAACATAAACAATAAGAGTGCCACAACAAAATTGTAGCTGAAAATGCTCCCAACTATGCAAACACGACCTAGTTCCATGAGGGTGCACATCTTCAATGGATTTGATTAGCAGAGAGAAGAGTCAGGGAAACTGGCTACTTGAATTCTGTCATGATACTGTTTTATGATCCAATTAGCCTCAGACTGCCACTTCGATGTAACACAAGGCATATAACAGCCTAGGAGTTCCGATATATAACCTGAACAGAAAGTTAAATTGTTTTGTTAATGCTTCAAATATTCAAATTTGTGTAACCCTGTACCAAAAAATGAGGATTATATTCTTGCTAATTGGTGAACTGCTTTGGTAAGAGCTTTCTGTTAATTGGTAAACTGCTTTGGTATAGATTCTTTTTAGATATTTACAAGTATGAACCCATTTTGCGGCTAGTGGGGCTTGATAAGAGTTTCCCTTAACTATAAAATATAAAGGTGATTTAGTCAATTCAATGGCCGTAGAGTCCACATGGACCATAATTTGATATTGGTTAACTGGGTAAATATCACATAGTGAAGAAAATTTGTAGTGAATTTTGTCAACTTTGAGAGTAGCTCTGACCTAATTTGTTCGATCAAGCAACAATAAAAAGTAGGCACTACAATGGAATGGTATTGGTTAACTGAGTAAATATTGTATTGAAGAAAATTTGTAGTGAATTTTGTCAACTTTGAGAGTAGCTCGGACCTAATTCGTTTGATCAATCAACAATAAAAAGTAGGCACTACAATAGAATATTAATGTTTTGCTTTATCACATTAGTCATGGAGGGACTGGTGCAGTATATAAAGATGATTCTAAAAGCATTAAGCAGTAATATTATTCTGCTAATGGAAGGATAATAATGGAATTACACAAAATTAAGTTTTAGAATTTTTTCCATCCATTAACTATAATGGAATGAAAATTGTAGCATTTGGTACCTTGACATTTCATAAAATTGTTTAGAAGTATCAGTATCAAAGCCAATGGAGAAGCTCACCTGTTAACAGAGTGAATGCTAACATTGAATGGCTGTAGATTCATAGGTATAATAATTTGGTCATCGTTAATTCAATAAACATCAAATAGTAAAGATAATTTCTAGTTAATTTTCTCTAACTTTAATCAATAATAAATAGTAGGCGCTATAATGAATATTAATGATTTTCTTTATCAGTATTAAGCTCTAATATTATTCTGGTAATGGAAGAACAAAAATGGAACTGTGCAAACTTAAAATTAGAGAACCTTTTTTTCTTGCATCGACTCAAATGAAATGGAAATGTAGCATACGCTATCTTGACATTTCATTGAACAGTTGAGGAGCATCAATATAAAAGGGAATGGAGAAGTCACTGGTCACCTTACTTTAGTCGTTTCATCAAAGCAAATGAAGAAGATTGTTGGATGCGTACAGGAGGTCGAAGTAGTGGTGGGCAGCGAGTTCCTGTGCGTGGTGCCTGCAGCGCCTTGCCATCACTGGCGAGAACAGGAAGATGTTGAGTAGGACTTAAGGAGCAGGCCATGGATTGTAGCTGGGATTGGTGGTTGGAGAAGGTAGAGCTATTGGCTGCTGGACTTGGATCGAGCGTGTCATCGAGGTCCAGTAACAAAGTCCGCCTCGGAGGAGGTGCCGATGTGCTACAATCCTGCGCCGGCAGCGCGGCAATTGTGCGGGAAGCCGAGGTCGGCGAAAAGGCAAGGAGGCGACAGCAGAACGAGTTCACGCCGACGGAGTCGTGTGCTCCCGGGGCCGGGGGCTCGGCCACGCACGCACCGTGGAGACGGACGCATCCCGCGTCGGGGAGTTGGCCGCGCCCTTGCCAGGGAGCAGCCGCGCCGGTGGCCGAGGGCCAGGGCCACCGCGCTGCCACGCTGGGGGCGGGTCCGCCCCGCCATGGACGGGGCCTGGGCCACCGTGCCACGGCGCCGGGGGGTGCGTCTGCCCCCGCCATGGCTGGGGGCCAGTACCACCTCGCCCCACTGCGGCCCGCCATGGCTGCCTCGCCGCCGTGCCGGGGCCTCCGTGCCACCGCCGTGAGAGAGAGACAGAGAGGGAGGTTTCGCACGAGAGAGAGAGGATGGGAGGTAGAGAGAATGGACGTGTGGACGGCTCGATCGAAGTCAGCATGTGAATTGAACGGTCAAGAAATCCCCACTGACGTGGCAAAATAATATGCCGCAGAGCATGGTACGAATTTTGTCTTGTAAGATATTGCTGCTTTTGGATGTTAATTATTGTCCATAATGCATTATCTTTTCGCTGGGATAGGTGATGGCAATGACGTTTAATTTAAATGAACTGTGGTGAGGATTTTGTCTTTTTAGCGAAAATTGGCAGGTGCTCTGCGGTTTTATTATTGGGGGTACTTTTGGTACGGCAAAACTTTTGCTTCTAATCTTTTGCTGCAAAACTTTTGTCATTCAAATTTTTAACATTTGGTGTTTAGATGCAAGGCAAAATTTTAGCCATGCAGACACAGCACGCGCCCTCAAGACATTTTTTTGTCCAGTTTTGGGCCTCTTGGGTCTCAAATACCAAAAGTTTTGTAGCCCAAGTTTTGCTGTTTTTGGCTATAGTGTTTAGATCCATTTTACCAAAAAATAGAATAAAACAGCAAAAGTTTTGGTCAAAATGGGAAACTAAACATGCCCTATATATATAGTAGGTAGCAAAATATGCACGCAGAAAGGTGGAGGAAATTAAAACCCACATCAACACAAAGAAGAAAAACTTGAACAATGCCTAGCCAAACTACCGGTTTGCTGCCTTTTAGTAGTTGTCACCCTCAGCATTTTCTCGTGCCTGTTGCAGCTGTTGCATGTCCTTCCATATAATTTGCAGAAGTTGCTGTGCAGATTCCGTCCTATTGTCAAAAATCTGATGTCATTGCTCTTTTCACAAGTTCCAAGCTGATATTATTTTGGTGTTCGCTGGTCTGAGGAAACCAGCCAGCCGGTTGGTTCCCCCTCACGTGACACTGTTCATCCATTCAGCTGAACAATATTTCTCTCTCACGACAAACCAGCCGAAACAGTGTTTTTTCAGCCAAATTTCAGACTAGCGAACAGGGCCTATTATGATTGTTAGCCTTTGGCAATTTTTTTAAACAAACGGCTGGAGCTCTACCTCTCAATTAAGGAAGAAATAAAGAAGGTTTATGTACAGTTTTGAGCCTGGGAAGTTGGGCAAACAAATAAGGACAAAAAGTCCCCAAAGCACGGATACAAACAGAATGATCGGCTTGCTAGCCCCCTCCCCCCCTTGGAATGCATTCTTTCTTTGCTCAATGTCTTCTTTATTTCTTGAGGCCACCTCTAATAATGCTGATTCCTAGCGTTATTGAAAATTCTTCGGTTTCTTTTCTTACAAAGGTTCCAACATGTGTAGATCATCGAACCATTGAAGCGCCTTCTTTCTTTCTTTGTGACCTTAGGACCGGTCTCCTCCCACTAAGTGCCGAAGTGAACAGGGTCTGGAGTGAACTGTGTGAAATGAACGTCAAAGTGTTCATAGGTTATGATTTGATTCCAAAACACTTTGACGAACGGGCAAAGTAGAGATTGATGAAGGCAAGTCTCCAAGGCCCCATCGCATAGCGCACAGTGATCTTGATGCGGTCACCCTCTTTTTTCGCAAGTTGTCCGCTGTGAGAATTTTCTCTTGTACAAGTATCCAAGTGAAGACTTTGCATTTGTTTTTTGCCTATGCTTTTCAGATTAGTTTGTTTTGGAAACTAGCATCGGAACCCTTGAATTGGATCCTATAGGTGGAGCAAGTGGAGTAAGAACTGTCGGCTGTCCATCGCCAAACAATGGAGTCCCGCACGCTCGGCGGCAGGTGGATGCTTTGGATTCTGATCTAGAGGGAGACAAATTCCTCTAAGTGCTCAGTGGTGGTGATTCGGCTCCTAAGGGTGTGTATCCAGCCGTTGTTTCGAAGCTCCTGTTGAACCGACTTGTTTTTCCTACTTACCAACTCAAACAGGTGTGGGGCAAAGTTCTTGGGGGCCTTGCTATCAAGCCAGTTGTCATGCCAATGGAGATTGTTGTTGAGGATTTGAAGATTATGTGGTCGGCTTCATTGCAAGGCAACTCCGAGCCATCCCATGGTTTGGGATCGTCGGTCCATTCTTGCCATAACCAACAGAGGCGCAGGGCTCTGCCAAATTTGTCCAGGTCTGCCATCCCTAAATCACCAAAATCTTTGGGCCTTGCAACAGTTAGCCAGTTGACAAGACAATGTCCCCTGTTCATGTTCTCTTATCCCTTCCAAAGGAAAGACCTTCTGTCTTATCAATTTTCCTCCTAGCCCATGCCACTAGTGGGATCACAGTTAGATGGTAGGATGACATGGATGAAAGCACCAGGAGGCTAGTGTCAAGTGACCTACTTTGTTTAACCATCTCCCTTTCCAACTAGGGAGTCTTTGGCCAATGCGTTCAATGAGGGGCTACACATGAACCTTCTGGAGCATCCTTGTATGCAGCTACAGTCTAGGTACCGACAAGGGAAGGTGCTTTGACACCGTTGAAGGAGGAGAGAACCTACCCTAGGTCAATGTCCTCACATCTATAATCGGGTGTATGGAGCTTTTCTGAAGGTTAATGTGCACGCCTAAGAAACTCCCAAACGCTTGCATAATTATTTTGATGGCTTCCAAGTCATTCTTTGAGGGGTTAATGAAGATAGCCATGTTGTCCGTATACATGGATGTTCTCCATCTAGCAACAGTTTGAGGCAGTGGGGATAGGATCCCATGCTGGGTTGCTAGATCAAGCATGCGATGTAGAGGGTCCAAGGCAAGGATAAAGAGCATGGAGCTAAGAGGGTTGCCTTGGTGCACACCTCTGCCATGGTAGAAGCTACCATGTTGCCCGTTGAGTAATGCCATCGAAGTGGATGTGCGGAAAAGGATGAATATCCATTCTAGCCATCTTGGCCCAAAGCCTAGGGCCTACAACACCTCCAACAGGTAGCTCCAATTAACCGTGTCAAAGGCCTTATGGATGTCAAGCTTTAGGAAGAGGGCCAACATTTTCTACTTATAACTTCCTCACTGTTCTCTGAGCATAGAGGAAATTGTCATGATTGCTTCACTTCTTGATGAACGCGCTTTAAAAGCTTGAGACCATAGAGTTTAGCAGAGGCGCCAATCTATTAGCCAAGATCTTAACAATGCTATATGGATGAGGCTGATGGGCCTATAATCTGTGACCCTTGGTGCTCCAGTAGTCCAATCCCTTCCTCTATTCCGAAGAGTCCAGATCTGGTCATTATTCAAGATCCTAGTGCGCTAGCGTCCGGTCTGGGTGGCTTTGTAGTTAATCCGATCCACTTGCTCTGCTTCCGTGGTGGCGTGCAGGTGCCCTCACCATTCACCCCATCTACTCGTAGCTTAGATCTAATATGCTCTTCCCTTGTACCTAATAACTTGTGTTTCGTATAATGCTTCGATGGGATTAGCCATTGGCAATTTGTTGGTTGATCTTGAGTTAGTAGCTTCCACCATGTTTTGATGTTGTTCATGTCTTGGTTCAAAATCAATCCTTGCTGTTGAGATCATGTCTCCACCAATCTCCACATCTCTTTAGCAAAAGTGCATTTTACCACCATGTGTGTGTGCGATTCTTGCTGACAAAACACCACTTACATACCAGATCAGCCTACCCTCAATGTTTTATTATGCGGTCTGCTATTGGTAGCATTATTGGCTCAACCTTGAGCTTCCAAACCCTGCTCCAATTGTTATCTTGGAAGTGACCTATAAACTAGGTTTGAGAGGCAGATTTTGCAAAGTACATACCCGATTGCTCGAGCCTCCATGTGATTGTGATTTTTTCCAATCCACAAGCTGGTAAAAAGCTAAGTTGATTGTTGACTGTAACACCCTAGGTGTTTGTCACCAGTTAAGCAATGGGTTTAAACTCAAACATGGCATGTTAAGTGGTGATGAAGGTGTCAAGATCAAATATACAAGAGTGAGCTCCAACTTAAACTCGGGCAACACACCTTTGCTTGCATATTGGCCCTTTTTGGATATTTACCTAAGTAATGTTGAAGGTGCTTATTTCATGTGTCTCACATCAAATTCCACCCACATGAATGATTGGAAAAGTTTCATGAAGTTTGGAATCAATAAGTCACCTGAAATGATAAGTTAAAATCTTTCTTGGATTGCTTTATTAAGTGAATGGAATTATAGGTCATCAACCAAACCTTGCTACCTTGTCCAAGCGACTCTAATTGAACTCTACAACAAAAGTCGTGAAGGGTTCATATTGAGCAGAAGTCAAGAAAATGCCTCAATTGGTCGAAAACTCTAATTCTAGGGTTAACGAGATGCTGCTTTGACCAAAGTAAAAGAATGGTTTATATTCAAGATACAAGGTTTGACCTTAAATAAAAGTTGCAGTATAGTTTGTGTACTACAAACTTTAATTGAGGACCCAAGTCTAATACTATCTCTAAGCTTGACAAACAAAGGTCACAAGATTGATTTTGCTGCAGTCTTCAGCACTTAGAATTATTCTAAGTCTGGAGTTTCGCTAAGCAACGATGTTGGCATTCTGCGTTCTCTGAAATTCGTTAAGCAACTTGAGTTGGTACAAAAATAAAAGTTGAAGGTTATATTATGGAGAAGAGCATGCAAAAAGTTGCACTGAGTTTGACCGAGTTTTGACCTCCGAAAGTGAATTTCCGTGACCGTTATCAAGGTGTTGACACTAGCAGTTTGTGGCTTAATTACCTGCTGATGAAGAGCTCTAATGACCATGTAGCCTTAATCAAGTTTGTAGAGCATCCAGAGTAGAGCAACTTTGATACTGGCACCAAGGTCCGAATGTGCACGGAATATGCCGAAAATGGACTCCAAGTCGGGCTCCATCGCGCGCGCCACGTGTTCGACGAAAAGGCGTCATGGCAGCCATGCACCGGAGCACGCCCCGCCATGGCTGACGCGCGTCCAAGCTCTGCGCCACACGCTGCCTCATGCCCT